CACACCCTCTCTAAAAGTTTCTCCTACTTTAGCATTCAGGTCCCCTACCACAATTACTCTCTCACTTGGTTCAAAGGCTCCTATACATTCACTTAACATCTCCCAAAATTTCTCTCTCTTCTCTGCATTCCTCTCTTCTCCAGGTGCATACACGCTTATTATGACCCACTTCTCGCATCCAACCTTTACTTTAATCCACATAATTCTTGAATTTACACATTCATATTCTCTTTTCTCCTTCCATAACTGATCATTTAACATTACTGCTACCCCTTCCTTTGCTCTAACTCTCTTAGATACTCCAAATTTAATCCCATTTATTTCCCCCCACTGAAACTCTCCTACCCCCTTCAGCTTTGTTTCGCTTAGGGCCAGGACATCCAACTTCTTTTCATTCATAACATCAGCAATCATCTGTTTCTTGTCATCCGCACTACATCCACGCACATTTAAGCATCCCAGTTTTATAAAGTTTTTCTTCTTCTCTTTTTTAGTAAGTGTCTACAGGAGAAGGGGTTACTAGCCCATTGCTCCCGGCATTTTAGTCGCCTCATACGACACGCATGGCTTACGGAGGAAAGATTCTTTTCCACTTCCCCATGGACAATAGAAGAAATAAAGAAGAACAAGAGCTATTTAAAAAAAGGAGAAAAACCTAGATGTATGTATATATATATATGCATGTGCATGTCTGTGAAGTGTGACCAAAGTGTAAGTAGGAGTAGCAAGATATCCCTGTTATCTAGCGTGTTTATGAGACAGAAAAAGAAACCAGCAATCCTACCATCATGCAAAACAGTTACAGGTTTCTGTTTCACAGTCATCTGGCAGGACGGTAGTACTTCCCTGGGTGGTTGCTGTCTACCAACCTACTACCTACATTAATATCCGTATCACCAATTCCTTGTACCATCTTTTACTAGCTAGTACCAACTACCTCATATACTATTTCTTTTTGTACTCTTAATTGCTCAAAGTTTATACCATAAGGCAAATCTTACTCCCAGATTATTTTTATATCAGAGTTACTATCTATCCATTTAATTTTGTTTAACAACTATACTTATTTTTAGTCCCTTTATATATTTTTATATATTTTTTTTTTTTGTTATTTTTTTTCACAATATTCTCCTGAAATAGTTCTCTACATACCTATACCTTGTACTGCCCTTTACTCAGTTTTTACTATGCTCTTAATTTTAATATCAATTAACCCTTTGAGGGTTTCGGACGTACTAGTACGGCTTACGACCCAGGGTTTTTGACGTACTAGTACGCCTAAATTCTAGCACCCTCAAATCTAGTGAGAGAAAGCTGGTAGGCCTCCATATGAAAGAATGGGTCTATGTGGTCAGTGTGCACGGTATAAAAAAAAATCCTGCAGCACACAGTGCATGAGAAAAAAAAAACTTTGACCGTTTTTTTTGGAATAAAACAGCGACTTTGCACTGTATTTTCGTATGGTATTTATTGTTGTATTCTAGTTTTCTTGGTCTCATTTCATAGAATGGAAGGCATATCATAGAAATTGAGATGATTTTGACTGGTTTTACAATGAAAAGTACCTTGAAATTGAGCTCAAAGTAGCAGAAATGTTCGATTTTTACCAAAGTTCAAAAGTAAACAAATCATGCCAAGCGTCCAATGCACATCAACTGGTGAGTCTAATATTCTTTTGCAAGTGCGCCAATATGATTCATACCATTTTTTACACTAATGCAGTAGTCTGCATAACAGTAAATCTTCTATTTTTTTGTGAGAATAAAAATTCAAAGTGGAAAGCAAAAGAATGTAAGAGGGGCCTTGAGACGTGACTAATGAACAGAGGAAATGTCATTTTAGTGCCAGGAATGTATTTCTTGTTTGTTCTGGACCCTATTCGGAAATTGGCATCTTTTTAAATTTGTGTGAAATTGGCAAAATTGCTAAATTCTGACCACTGTACTGGATAGTTGAAATTGGTAAATGGGTGGTTTCTTGCACTCATTCAATAGAAAAAACGGAGTTCTAGCGAAATATTCATGATTTTTGTCGACTTGTACAGTGGAACTGGCCGAAAATGGGGCTCAAAGTGGGCAAAATCGCCGATCCGTAAACATCGCCGAGACCGCTAACTTCACGAGAGCATAATTCCGTAAGTTTTCCATCAAATTTCATATTTTTGGTGTCATTATGATCGGGAAAAGATTCTCTATTTTTTCATAAGAAAAAATTATTTTTTTTTTTTAAATTTGGCCGACCCTGAGAACGAGTCTCGGAGAGGGCCTGTCGACCCTCAAAGGGTAAAAGGGCAAATTCAGGTGCTAGAATATTTTTTCCCCTTATTCATATAGTCACACTGTTGAAATAATTAAGGTGCAAACTAAGGTGCTACAGTATCTTACTTTCTTCATTTGTTTTTATAATCACTAGCTCAGGCACTACAGTATTTTACTTTTTCATTTATTATTATATATAATCACTAGCTCCTTTATTTTAGCCTTAAATATCTACCATAGTTCATATACTCACATTTGTTAAAATAATTAAGGAGCTAGTTCAGGTGCTAAAGTGTATAATTTCATTGTTATCCTATAATTTTCCCTAGTTTTAGAATATCTACATAGTTTTATTCCTAAATCTAGTTATAGATTCACTATAATTCTTTGATTACAAGCATTGTTCTTATACCAACCTCCCATTTGTAACAATCCATTAGCCAGTAAGATAAAGTAGATAAGTATCATAATTCTTAATAACATAATATCTTATTAAAAAATCTAAAAAATTTTTAAGAGAGGAGACAGATAAGCAGCATTAAACTACAGACCATTGTCACTGATATGTACAGTATACTAAGTCATGGAGAAGCTTATCAGAAGAGTGGTGGAGAATCTAGAAAGGAATGGGATCATACATGACAACCAGCACAGCCTCAGGGATGGAAAATCCTGTGTCACAAACCTACTGGAGTTCTATGACAAGATAACATAAGAAATACAGGTAAGTGAGATAGAGAGACAGAGATGGGCAGATTGCATTTTCTTGGACTGTAAGAAGATTTTTGAAATAGTACCAAACAAAAGACTAGTACAAAAGCTTGAGGAGCAGGCAGAAATAACAGGAGAAGCACTGCAATGGATCAGAGAATACCTGACAGGAAGGAAATAATGAGTGACAGTACGTGACAAGGTGTTGGAGTGTGCGCGTGTGTCAAGCGGGTTTCTACACGGGTCAGTCCTAGGGATGGTGTTGTTTCTTGTATAGGTTAATGACATGACTGAAGGGATAGGCTCAGAGGTGTCCCTGTTTGCAGACATGAAACTAATGGGGAGAATACAGGTAGAGTAGGATCAGGTAAGTTTACAAGGGGATTTGGACACGCTGTAAGCCTGGTCCAACAAATGGCTGCTGGAGTTTAACCCAACAAGTGCAAAGTCACAAAGCTTGGAGAAGGACAAAGAAGACTGCTGACAAAGTACAGGCTAAGGATATCTGCAAACCTCACTCAAGAAAAAGGATCCTGGGGTGAGTCTCATACTGAGCACATCCTCTGAGTTGCACATCAATCAAATAACTGCTGCAGCATATGGGTACCTGGCAAACCTAAGAATAACATTTCAAAAGCTGAGTATATAGCAGTGCAATAGTTTGCAACAAGACTAGTCCTAGAGCTAAGGGGTATGTCCTATGAGGAGAGGTTAAGGGAACTCAATCTGATGATACTGGAGGGTAGGAGGGACAGGGAGGACATGATAATGACATACAAAATACAGAGAGAAACTGACAAGGTGAACAGGAACATTATGTTTCAGAGATGAGACACAGGAACATGGGGATACAACTGGATGGTGAAAACTCCGATGAGTGATAGGGATGTTAGGAAGTATTTCTTCAGCCTCAGAGTTGTCAGGAAGTGGAACAAACTGGAGAGTGTAGTAGTGGAGGCAGGATCTATACATAGCTTTAAAAAGAGGTATAACGAGGCAGGGAAAGTGGCGGGGGCCAGGAGCTGTGAATCGACCCCTGCAACTTCATGTAGGTGAGTACATATAGGTAAGTAAACACAGACAAAACTAACACACAAAAAACAAACATACATACACACACACACTCACTTTAACTACAGTATTTCATCCCTGTTCTATCAAGAAAATAAGGAAATTCCATGCAAACTCATATATCTAAATGCTTGCATTCATTCTTCCACCTCCCTACTTGTAGTGTTATTTTAAGCAAGGTAAAGTGGTACCCCGAGTTTCGTACACCTCCCAACTCTAACAATTATGTAAGTGTATTATTGTAAGTACTTTTGTAAGTGTATTTTTGGGGGTCTGAAACGGACTAATCTAATTTACCTAATTCCTTTTGGGAACAAATTCATTCGGTAACAGCACTCAAACAGCCTTCTGGAACCAATTATGGCCGAAACTCAGGGCACCACTGTAATTACCTACCAGTTATAACATATAACATGAATTACCTCAACCTGATAACTAAAGAATGACTGACATATGAATTAAAGTACATATTCATAGATTCTTGAGCAGTCTGCTATACCAGCACAGTACTGTAACTTAAACACCTTGCTTATACTTCACTGTACTGTGAGCATAGCACTAAATATATCCTACCTTTTATTTCACAAAATGCTGATAAATGTTTGTAAATTGTTAAAATGCAAACAATTTATAAAAACACCAAAAATATCTTAAAAAATTGTGCCTATGACTTGTTGGCCACTCAGCCATTGACAGCTTTTTCTATCAGTCATATATAATGACCTTTGGTTTAGTCTGCAAATTTTCAACTTTAAA